TTACCGTTCGAATTCACTTACATATGACTGAGAGCTGTGAGATTCTTTACGCCTAGTGGCTTTTGCGACAAACAGGTGCAGGTAAATGAGAATGGCAAACTAGCTAGTGAATCGATCTAATTGTTCTGCAAATTTCCCTGAGGTTTCTCGTAATTGGACAGGGAATGTGCTAAGATAAATGCAAAGCTCTGAGCCTGAGATCTGCGCTAAAGAAAATGTTTGTTGATTTAAGAAGGGGCGAAATCAGTTCGCGTCTTTAACTGGAGCTGTGGTGAAAAAATGGATTGTTTTTCCTTGGACACCTTGTTAGTTGGAATTTTGTATCTGTCTCTGATTTGCGAGATTTTTGAATGCGTAACCAAGATAATAGCTCAAGAAGAAGGCAAGGAAATCAATGACAGGCCAAGGAATCGTTTCAGATCAGGAAGCTGCAGACATTTTACGGGAACTTGCTCAGTTCGGGCATCTAGACACGGAAGCTCACGGCATTTTGTTCAAATGCGGATCTTGGCAAGAAGATAAACTGTTTAAAAGGAGATTTTTGAATCAAAACACCGATTTCAACCCGGTGAAACCATATTTTCCTTCTTATGCTTCAAGTTAAGACCGTGTGGCATCCTCTAACACGTATCCGACGAGATATTCTAACAAGTATACTGACCACTTTGTGCAATGGATTCAACGCAAGAGAAAATGAAGACAGCAAAAGTCTTGGCGATATGATCAGTTTTATTTGATTTTGCCAGTGTCATAAAACACATTGGTGAAAGTCTGATATTGTTTATTTGAATACACTAAAATTCGTATCAATTGAAATGTCAAGTTACCATCAAGCCAACGACAAAAAGTATTACTTTTCTCAATATTGAAGTTGTAATAGTCGGCAATAATCAACTTCCATTGTCCATAAGAAGACATTATCCCACAAACGCGCATGCTTACGACTATAACACCACAGTATGTCGATGTTGTATTATTCTGAGCTTGAATTTAATTACAATGACGGAAGAGTTACTAACAATGATTCTGAATAGAAAGGCTACAAATGAAGTTCTTACCCGAGGTATTTTTTTTTAGTAAGGTGCACTGATCGCACGGTAAGAAAACATACCTCAAAAAGTCGGCCCAATAGAACATCATCAATTATTCGTGTTATTGCAAAGTCTTAAAACGCTTCTTGGAGATGTATGTATGATTAATGGTAATCCTGCGTGGGATTAGGTAGCAAGCGGCCATACATTTATTACTGACAGTACAAAGGCTGCAAACAGGTCGTATAACTTACGCTTTTGGGGAAAAAAGTAAGCCAAATTGCATCAGCGGTTGAAGTTGGCAGATGGCAAGAAATGTCAACTGACAAACCGCGACTCAAACTCTGCGTCTTCAGTGACAGGACCACTGACAAATAACGGCTTAACTTTTATCTGACAACTGACTAATTACTCGTAATTAAACTGACAAATTATGGATCTACCTTTGCATCCTACCGATCAACCTCGCAGCACATCGAAACACAGTTCCATTTTCCGTTACTTTCCGCGCTGATGACTCCGGGCTAAAATTTTTATCTGACAACTGACAAATTGCTCGTAATTTAGCATCCTACCGACAAACCTCGCAACACATCGAAACACAGTACAATTTTCACGTGACTTTTCGCGCTAATAAAGCCGGGCGCGTTTCAAGTTGCTTCAAGATTAACCAATATTGAATAGTCTATCTACTGATATAGACTTCTTTCACATGAAGGCCAGAAATGGAATACCGATCGAGCGAAACTAATAACAGTGATGTCTACAACAAGTACAAAGCATTAGCCTTCATAAAATAAAATCTTCTTTTAAAAGTGATTAAAATGACATTAAATTGTTCCCGGAGGCTTTAAGTTTTTTAACATAAAAAGAAAAGGAATTAAAATAGCACCAGGTGGAAATGAAATAATCTTCGGAATATTTTAAAGCACAATGAAAACAGAAAGACAGTTTCCACACACCCTGAGACGATAGCTTTTCGACGGTCAGATCTTATGTTTCGGCTACAAGCAGCCAGCAAAATAATCCAAACAATCTGAATTACTTACAGCAGAAAGCGGATCGGTCGAGAAAAACGGGCGGTGTTCATATAAGTCACTTAAAGGTACTCTAGAACCCAGGTCTTCTCTTTCTCTTTTTTTGGCAAAAACAAAAAGATTTTTTTATTGGTTATAACAAATAAAATTACAATGAACATACTTAAAATAAAATTGCAAGTCGAGCACTATCTTACTTACATAGTCACTATAGTCGAACTTAAGATATGTATAGAATGCATTAGGGTCAGAGGCATCTCATACAAGAATCATTCTCTTCAGACAACTTTCAATGATCAGCTTTTGTTCTACCTTTATACCAAACTCGTCTATTTTGCAACGCTTAGAGCACATTTTCTGATAGTAGAGGTAATATTTTGCAAATAATAAACAGCAACTAAATTTCACAATGCTGTTTTCAGAAATATTTATCACTATTCCAAACAATATCTCATTAGACTTTAAAGAGATAGTACAACTGAATGTTGTATTGAACCAATCGACAACTTTGGTATAAAAGTCTTGAGTAAAGTGGCATTCAACAAAGGTATGAAGGATCGAGTCCGGCTCTTTACAGTATAAACATTTGTTTTCGTCTTGTAAACCGTAAGTACATAATTCCTTCTTGGTAACAGTTAGTCTGTGAATCAGCTTAAAGTTAAATTCTCTCAATTTATTTTCACAACATGTTTGTCCAATAAGAGTAAATTTTGACCTCCAATCGATGTTATCCAATTTTAATTCTTTTTTTTTTCTTTTTAAAGGGGCGCGAAAGTCTCTGTAGGTGATTAACAACCTAACAGCATAAATAGAGGTCGTCGAAAGGATCGCGGGATTCGAATATCTTTTTAATTCAGATATTGCTGCGTCAGCGTTGGCAAATTACAAATCCATTAAGAACCGAGAGTATACTCCATCGATCGTTTGAACACAAGATTCCACAATCACAAACTCGTTATGACGCTCACAATGAGAGCGCGCACTGCAAGTCAACGATTAGCTCCAGACGCTCGAATTTTTTCATTGGCTGACAAACAATAAATGCGAAGCAGAAATGAAAATTACAACGCACTACACATTGCATTTTACATCCGGCTTGGATGAGCAGTTTAAGGCAGGCGAACTTTCACAGCCGTTGACCTCTACCTCTTTAAAACCTCTGTTTTGATTCCTTCTTGTTAATCTGCACCTCTGTTGTTCTCAGGGCTAGGGGCATCGTTTGTGTTGTTTACCTATTGTTTCGTTTGGATGAAAAAGCGTCTTGTAAACGCTGCAGGTCACCCCAACTCTCGCTGGCGCGCCTTTCAAAAAATGTTAAAAAGACCATGGCGACTCTCCGTTTTGCCGACCACGTGACCAAAAGCGGAGGGTCTGGAGACCAGAACGTTCATGGGTATACACACATGTGAGTGTTTGATATATTCAGTGCAGGTTTACGTCGCACTCAGTTGTTAGATTATAAAACTCATTCTGGTGTCCATATCACTTTGCTTACAAATTTCTACACGATCAAAAGGAAATTATTTGGTGGAGATTGTCGCAACCAGTGAATATATAGATATTTCACTCTATCACCATGGCAACCTAGTCCCAGGGAGCTTTCTCGTAATCCGCCCAAAACGAAAGGGTCTGAGAAGGAGCTTCTGCATGTGACGCAAAAATTACGTACATTATTAATCAATTAGACGTCACAAACGACACGTAGTAATTTATGACCCAAAGTTACGTGGATTTAGAAAGTGCAATTCGTATAGCCGTGAAGCTAGTCACGAAATGTGCGGGTCTTTGATGTCGAAATTTAAGCCTGGCAATAGGGTGGCTCCTGCTCCTAGAAAAGATTCTCTTGAAACGAAAGAATTTCCAGGAAAAGCTAAACTTTCCGACGAGCCGACAGCGGTAGAGATCCCCAGCCCCGTTGAAAAAAATTTAGATCAACATGAAGACACTGGGATCAATTTGTCTGAAAGAACAAAAACGTGCGCAGAGGACTGTAAATCTGAATCAAACGACGAGGAAAAAGCTGTGGAGAGGACTGCAAAGAGTGCGGTTGTCGCAGTGACAGCGGAGTTCCCTGTTGCCCGTCCGCGCGAGCTTCCACCCTTGTATCGACCAACGGTCGATATAAAGAAAGTTAAAGAAGTGGTGGCTAAAGACATGGCGCGACTGAAAAAGCGGCAGGCAGAAAAAGAGTTGGCTAAAGAAAAGCTTGCTAGAGAAAAGTTGGAGAATGAAATTCTGGTTAAAGAAAAGCTTACCGGAGAAAAGTTGGAGACTGAAAATCTGGCTAAAGAAAAGTTTTCCAAGGAACGGCTGGTTAAAGAAAAACTGCCTAAAGAAAGGCTAGTTATTGAGAAGTTGGCTAAACAGCAGGTGGTGATTAGAGAAAAGCTGGAAGCGATTCAGGGTGGACAGGCTTCTAGCTCCAACACGGTAGCGACTAAACCCATTAGCTCCGCTCGCGCGCACTCTATCCTCCTAGGTAAGACTAAAAGTGCCATTGCTTTCGAAGTTCTTGTTGGAAGGAAGCGCAGGGAAACCGTTCTCCTTTCCGCCCGTGTACCCAGATGCCTCCGCAGGCTTCACAGTCCGCCACTGCTGACGGCTGAAGTGTTGGCCGCAAAACAGCTGGCCGCTCGAGAGAAGAGGCTCAAGGAACTGGAGCGAGTCCGAGACTGCGCACGCGCTTGTGCCCAGACTGCTAGTGGACCTCATCCACTGAATGACATTTGCACGTCTAGTGAAGCCGAAAAATCCCTTCCTTCCAAAGAAAAAAAGTGATAGACGACCTTGTACAGTTGGCACAGTAAATAATCGTTAAGTACCTTCAAAGCTGTGCTCAGCTGCAAATGAGTTCGATTCACACTCGGAAATAACAACCTGCCAAACAGGTTGTTTTATTTTCCACCAAAACCAGTACGACAGAAAACGAATCTTTCACTACAAAATATTTTATTTCTTCGTTTCCCTGCGTATTGGTTTTGGAGGACACGGCGGAATCTTTGGAAGTTTTTCTCTTTTGTTGTTTTTGTTTTGCATATATTTTACAGACTGATTAGCCGAATGAACTATGAAGTCTGCTTTCTCATCTGAACGCAATATTATTATATTGAACATTTTGACTATCGGAGTTCCTATTGCAAGTAGATATATGTTACTGTTACAGTTCTTGAGTTTAAGAACCTGTTATGTTTCATTTAAGTATTGTACCACGTTGAGATGTAGACGTTCAAGAAGAAATGAGCCCCCCTTTTCTTTGAACGTCTACATCTCAACGTGGTACTACGTGGCCCTGTCCCTGATAAGCGCCCCTCTACAATAAGTGCTCTCCTTTGAGATACCAAAAGTAAATTAGGGTGCTAAATTGAATCTTTACGGTAAATAAACATTGAAAATAAATTTAATAAAGACATGGCAATTCTGGTACTTGTGTTGGACGTTTGACGTACAGCCCCGCGCAGACAGAGTGCACGGACGATGTTTGAAATCACTGTTCTTACAAAGAGGGTTGCTAACTTGCTGGTCATAGACAACTATGACAGGGTAAGCCTAGTTCGCAAGCATTGTGTGTATGTGTGATAGGGTGGGGTGGGGGAGGGGGGAAACAAAGAATGATTCTCGCCTTGACCGCGCATTCCTGGACATACTTGTCACTTGTTCTTCCAGTTATGTTTTCAACTGCGACAAGAAATTGCTGTGCAACTTGAAAACGTTAGTTCTACGTGACAACGTTTGTTCACATTGTGATCCATTTTGTTCCTCGTTTAGGATAGCCATCCTTCCGTCTTTACGGGTTCCGGAGCTCTGTCGAGTGCTGTTCTACAAAACGTGTGATATAGCTTAGTTTGCTTTGTGACGCTTTAAGAAACCCGCCATGCAATAAGACGACTAGATCTTGCTCAGAAATATTTAAGACACGTTTTCTTAGACGAAGAATCACTTTGCAGTGATAACAAATGTCGACCAAGCGCCACAACACAGCGTCTTCGGTTTGAGCTTCATTGAAGACAAGGCCGCCACCTGAGTCGGTGTGGATCTGTCCTCTAGGTCTCCGTGTCCGAGTTGGCCATAATAGCCTGGAACACAATAAATCCACATCACTATAGCAACCATGCATAGAAGGCGCGGTTACCTAATTATATGTTAGTTCCAGGCCTGGCCGGGGTCCTTGTGTTACAGTTCCCTCTCTGTTGTGACCCGAGGGTATACATGGCGATTAATACTGGGGGTGATCCTGCGATAAACTAGCATTCCATCTGGGTTGGAAGTAGATATACTCCTAGCTGTACTATGCTACTGAGAACAGATGAAAGCACCCGTACTAAAGGTTTGCATCTAGGCAGAAGAAATATCTTTGAAGATATCATCCTGGCAGTTTAAAACATCGAAAACCTAATTGATCAAGAAGATCGTTATCTAGTGCTCGATAGTGAAAAATGTGTAAGTGCAAGCGGATTGGCAAGCCTACTCTGTGGTTTTCCATAAAGGGGCTAGAAGAAGTGTTTACATTATATACAGAAAAACAGGTTAAGAATCCAATCACACTGAGCAAATGGAGTAACTCGTTTGCCTGCATGGCCACACTAAAGTTCTTCTCGGGACAAACAGGGGTCAGAAGACTAGATAGAAAAAAAGGAATAATCCAAAAAAACTTACCCCACCCCCAAGTCCAGACACTTCCATCACCTGTAAAACCAATTCGAAGCATCAGTCTTCTCACTGATGGCTTATAGTTCCTTTTGGAACACGGTTAATTCTTAAAGTTGGTGCAGTTAACATCTGTGCCAACTCTCCCGGATTATCTGGGAGTCACCCGGATACAGACCGAATCTCCCGGTCTTCCGTACGTTCACTAAGTTTCCCGGACAATAACCGAAGGAAAGCCCATGAAATACATTTTTCAGACATATTTTGGCAGACATTTGGCGTTTTCCTTGGAAACACTTTTTGGATATTTGACGCATTTTTGTGGTTGGAATGACGGCGTTCTTCTTTAGGACAACTTTTTTCTAGGGCAAAGAACGTAGCATTGGCGATCTCTCGGATTTCGATGTTTTTGGTTGGCAATATGAAGCCCCTTACATGTAGCTGATGATGCCCTTCTACTAACACATGTCAATATCTGTATACCTAATGTCGCGACTTTGCTCTGCTTCTCAGACATCTCAGAGCCATGATCTGTATGTTAGCTTATGTTGGCAAGACGCAGTCGAACCAAACTAACCATGGCGAGAACGCACCCAAATTTGATCGAATTTCTTTACGCGAAAAATATTTCTTCAAATGTCTGGCTCTCCTTGTTTGTGGCTTTGTTCTCGCTTTCCTCGCTGTTCATGGTTTGAAAGAAAACTGTTTCAGGGTTATTCAGTTCATCTCCAGTAATGCCACCCACTGCTTTTAACAGCTTTGAGAACGATTTGTCGAGACAAGTAGTGTAGGTACTGTAGGAGCTGCGACTTTGACGCGAGAATTGGCTTTAATTGTCATATAAAGCATCCTATTCTTCGGCAAGTTTTACTAGTTTTTTTTTTTTACCAAATTATTGGTTATGTTGCAACATTTTGATTTGGAAAATTCAGAAATAAAGTACATATACTCAGAATCCCCATAATACCGTTGGATATATGAAGTCATTGTCCTTATCAATGGACAAGTATAACTTGTAATTGGCAGCTTCGAAATTTTACAGTAATGTGAAGATAAAGAACAGCTAGATTTCTCTTGCGATGAAATCTTAAAGTTGAAGTAAAAGTTCATGGTGTCAAGCAGGTGGGTGATGTTCTTCCATTACGTTATGTTTCATTGAAATCACGACTACCGGTAGTTAAGGCTTAACAAAAGCTATCTCGTCGGAGAAATATTACTGGCATGTGTGGAGCACAGGAAGTAATATACCAAACACGAGAGACAGTGTTTCATCGGGGTATCCAAACACCGAAGAGAGAGTTGAACATACCACGCGCAGCGGAGTATTTTTGACGAAATCCGAGGTGTTTGGATAACCGATGAAGATATATCTTCTTAGTCGAAACAAAAACTAATGAGTAAACGGAGAAGTAAAATCGTCAAAATGTATGCTAATTAAGACCGGGTATCCAAGCCATGATTTTCTTCGTTTTGACTTGATGAATTATTAATGAATTTGAGAAGAATAAAGCCAAACTCGGTGGTTTCTGTTGATTCATTAAACAAATGTTTTCGTTCTATCCCAGTTACACGTGCAAGCGTACCAGAGCCCATTATATACAAGCATTGTCAAGAACACGGTTCTGATAAAGCACCCACAATGTTCAATAAGCCTATATCTGTATTCTCTTCATTGTCACCACATACTTCTAAACAATCAATTTATACTGAAGTTAAGGAATAATCGCTGTTTGCATACCAGTGACTGCAGCAGAGTGCCTTGTTCCACAGCTGACTGTCATCACCTCTAAATCATCAGGGAAGTTGATTGGTACAGGGACTGTCTGGCACTGAACCTGGCCACTGGATGACTTTCTGTCATCATGATTGACACCCAAACCCAACTGTCCTTTTTCATTCCATCCCCACATGTACAGGTCACCAAACTCTAATGACAAGACACAAATCACAATTCAACTTTGTAAAACCCTTGAAAACTCAGGTTAGCTTGACAATACATTTTTATGTACATTACCCTACTGTTATAGTCTACCATAAACGTCCAAAAGTAAAGACCCTTGATACTTTCAGAATTACCAGCCTTTGGGGCTCGTTTCTTTCAGGGGGGGTCATTACTTTTGAGGGGTCAATACTTTTAGGGAGCAAAAAACGTTATATAAAGTTGGAGGACTGAGCACTTTTGATTTGTAAAAACAGTACTTAAAACAAGAGACACGCATGGGTGGGCTTTTCAATACCATGTTGTCAGTGGTCAACAGGGAAGCTAGTCAGATATTGTAAACTGTTTCTACTACATGAAACATCCATTTTTCAACATTTTATGGACAGTTATAAGCAATTGGACCATTTTATCATGTAAATTTTTGATTTTTCAATTTTCTTGTTTTAATTTTAAGACTTGATCAAATGCTTTGCTCTTAAATATTTTAGTGTATCTCATATCTCAGTTTTTTTATGTAACCGTTGCATATTTGAGAATTAGTTTCTATATTTTTAATTTTAAACATGTCATCTTTTTTATTCTGTATATAATTAAATGAAGGCCACTGGTTTTTCAGTTATTACTGTTGTGTGCTACCCTCAATAAATGAAGTTTATTCTTATTATTATCATTATCAATATCATTATCAGTATCAGTATCAGTATCAGTATCATTATCATTATCATTATCATTATCATTATCATTATCATTATTATGTACACTGCTATGTTAGTCTGCTGTAGTAATATTCAGGGATGTGAAAAGTCTGTTTACAAACAAATATTTCTCCACATTTCCCTACCCTATGTATATTGTATGGTCATATTAAGCTGTGGCAAGGCCAGCCATTCTCTGCTCAGAACACTGTGCCAGCCCCCTTTCCCTTTCCTTGTTCTCTTCTGGACCGTAGTATAAAGGTATCACAGTTTCATTACCCATATTTCAGATTTAAAATACACTCCCCTACTCTTTTAAAATATAAAGTTTCTTCATGATGAATACTGTGCAAGATAAAACAAGATTTTGTTTTACAATGCACAAAATGTGAAAAAGCCCCATACATGCTTTAAGGTTACTTCAAACCTTCACGGGTGTCCTCCAGAAAAAAATTCGTAAGTGTGCTGTTTTCAAGGAAACCCCCACAAACTATATATCAACAGAAAGGTTATAAAATGTAGAATTCAATAAAATTATGTTTTGTTTTGGATTTTGATTTCCAAAGGCAGCAGAGGCCGTCAACTCCAAAATGACCGACTGACGTTCCAGCGAATTAATCGGGTATCAAATGCGATTGTTCATGCAAAATAACGGTGCAATGTTTATCACAAAGCCTCAATCTCTAAAAATGTGTCAGCATTTTCTTTTATTTCTATTGGTTATCTTTTTATAGATCTGTCAACTTCGACTATCCAAAAATTTGCGTAACCTGTTGCGTTTAAGGCCACCACAAGGAAAGTATTTAAAATAAAGGAATTCGCCAACACGCTGTTGTTCATTATCTATCAGTGAATGTTCTGACCAAATTTCCTGGAAAACCCTCAAATCTGCATACCCTATAAATTCATTTAAAGAGAAGGGATTCTCTCGAAAAACGAGTGCGAGTTTCTGCCTTCTAAAGATTTATAAACATATCACGCCTTCACAGAGGAATGTGTCAACTTGAAAAGCTGCAAGCCAATGAAATAACAGAACCCCTAGAGTTCACAGTATCCAAACTTGAGCTTCGAGGACTTTGATTTTCGTGATCAAAAAAATATCGACCAATGTAGCCCCGCGAAGGTTTGAAGTAACCTTAAATCAGTTGACATTATCCCTGGATAGATGGACTTCAACTCTTATGAATTACTGTGCCCTAAGTTTTCTTTTTCTCTCTCTCTCACCACTTATTGCAGCTGAATGCCAGCCACCTGCAGCTACAAACTGAATCCTAATTCCTTCCAGGGCTGGAACAACTTCTGGGCCTTGCTCTTCAACTAGCAAGCCACGCCCAAGCTGCCCACGACTAAAAATTGAAGATCAAGAAATCAATGTCATTTATAACAAGTTTCTTAAACAGCTTGGAAGAAATGAAACTCTTGAACATATTATTAAAGAACAAAGAAACATTTACCTGCCACTTCCAAGACTGTGTACAACTCCTAATGATGTCAATAGTAAAGCATGTTCTTTACCACAAGCAACTGATGTTACCTGTTTGGCAATCTCTATTGGCCTGAACACCAGAACTGGTTTCGTATCATTGCCATCTTGATCTTGTCCATTAGCTATGAAACCAACCTGTCCAGTTTCTTTACAGATGACAAAAAACAATATTACTCATTTCTAGATGGCTGCTACAGTGTTGCGCAGAAGCAATGCAAACAAATTCTGACAGGACTCCTGGTTTTTCCAAAGGAGTTCAGTTACATGCACAGTTTTAACCTGCAGAGAATACAGTTACGCTGGATTTATTTCATTGTATAGCATAATGAAACACGAAAAAATAGTGAAGCTCACTTTTGTATTTCACACTCTGCAAGTGTGACTCACAGTATGGGCTTTCACACAAAAACTGTTAGTAGCAGTTGAATCAACCATACAAAATTCATGTGCTTATCCTCTCATCAGGTTGCCCAATAATTTTCTGGTACTCATCAATGACACATTGTTTGCATGGAGGTACATGTAATATCAGCTGGTAAAGTGGCTGCCTAAGACCATATGGCAGGGACTGCAAAAGCCATGAACCTGGACCTCTCATTCCAAATTTTCTAGTCTCCCACCACTATTTTTATAATACTCAAAAAAGCCTAGGCAATGTTTACTAATTAAACTTAGCCATTGTCTGTCTGGCTTGGAGCATAGTTCATCTAAAAAACTTAATACAGCAAAGAAAATTGAGCAGAATTCAGCCATCTGCTACGCAATACGGCATTGATATTACAATTGTATGGGGAAATGAGATTTTGGTCAGTTATAATACATTATGTAAGTTACTGTCAAGGGTTAATAACCACCTGTTACAAGTATGCAACTTGATTCCCTGCAGCCCACTGCTTTGAATTTTGTACCATCACACTTGACTTGAACAGGTTTTGATGTTCCATTTGTATAATTGCTCCACAGCAAACAGTCTCCATCCTTTGTAAGAAATGCAAGTTGTATCCAGCTGCAACATGCATCAGTAACAAAACGATCTGGAAGATTAACCACTTCCCCAACTTCTTTTGTTCTAGAGATCCATCCTGTTGTACTGACTGTTCCATTTTCTTAAAAAAGAGCAACAAACAATAGCATTTAATACAGCAAGCATGCCTTAGTTGGATAACACTCTGCATGTGACTATTTGATACCAACTGCTGGACTGTGCTCAAGAAATGCCCGGGTTCCACAGGTGACTAACTTTTGACTTTGGGTGACTGGAAAAACTTACTTTTTTAATATAAGCTTAAGTGCTGGACGCCCAAGATTTCATTGTTAGGAACCTTTGGGCTCCTTGTAATTTTTCTTAGACCACAGCCTTGAACTGGTATAACTAAGACTTCATCGTAAAGCTTGAACCACTTAAGGTCAGTTTGTGACTATGTAATTTCACTGGTCTGACTAAAGGTTAGAGGTCTAAGCAGCAGGTCTAAGACAGGGATGAGGGATAAGGAAGAGAGTTGGGGAGTAAGGGGCAAGGGTTGTTTCCATTACCATTATTGAGACTGAACTGTAAACAGGCTAACCTGAGCATTATTTACGCTAACAGAAATGCTCTTCAGGCTATTCAGGTTCACAATCTACCTCTCTCCCCTCCCCCTCACTCCGCATTTCCCATTTTAGATCTGCCTAGTTGAAAGTTTTTTAAATTGTTTTGACATGTGAAATAACCCAGCAAGCAGTCTTAACATTTCAACATTAGCCTGAAGAAAACAGTGGACAACAGTTACAAATGTACCAGTACAATGTTCACAAGAAGTTTGAATCATGAAGGTGTCATGTTATCATGTCATTACATACATGTTTGCACCAAGCTGCATAGTCACTGTATGCAAACATACTACATGTATACTAGCACAAATAATAGCAGAATTCAGAACCAGTCAGTGTAAAATGCAGACTGCAGACTGCAGACCAGGGGTAAAATGCAGACTGTAGATCAGGGGTAAAATGCAGACTGCAGACTACAGACTCTTTAGGTATACATCATATGTTAATCCATTATCGAGTGCCAACTGTAAGCAGGGTTATTCCCAGGTTATTCAGGCTAATCAGAGTGAAAGTCTGCACTCTAATTAGCCTGAGTGCATTCCGGATAGACTGAATATCATTCAGGTTAGCCTGAATAACCTTCCAGTTGGCCTGTTTACAATTGGCAAGGTCCGAAATTTCAACAAGCTGGTCGTCAATGTGACTGAAAATTTATTCATGCACTGTAATCAGCATTTAGGGCTGCCATGTCTTCAGCGGTTTCAACTGCCAGCCATACCCTGGGTGCCTGGCAGAAACACAGTCATACTTTCCTTTCGAGCAACATGGCTGCTTGATTCCTTTTTGACAGTTTCGTACTGATGGCATATAAGAAGAAAATGATGTTAAGTTCAGTCTCCAAACTAAGAGAGCTTCCTATTTGACGAAAACTTTATTTAAAATAAATTGTAAGCTACACAATATTTTAATGCCTTTACATGTAGAATCTGACTCTTGCGATCGTTCAGGAGTAGGTACATTGGGTGCGAAGAAATGTCTTGAAAAACTTTGCATTTTTGTGTTTTGCCATGAAGGAAAAATTTTCATTGACACTTTTTGGTGACTACATTTTTCCATCTGGTGACTGAAAAAAAAAAAATCAGTCGCCAGTTGGTGCCTAGACTTTCAGAAAAGTCCTTCGTCTTGTTTATGCAGTACCCGCCAGACAAAGGACTTTTCCTACTTGATTGGCACCAATTTTAGTGACCTAAAAACAAAAACCCTTCAAACAAGACAAGTTGACCTCTCACGACTTCATTGCTCACTCGGCTGCTTTGAGGCCTAAAAAATTGCAGCTCGCTTCGCTCACTTAGATGTTCTACCCTGGAACTCATGAGGATGACTTGTGGCAAGTCTAGTTGGTGCCTGCCCAAAGAAGTTAAATTCCGTACCCTGGTTAGTTCTCAATGGTGGAAATGGTAAAAACAGTTCAGTTAAAAGTCTGCAGTCTGCAATCTGCATTTCACCCCTGGTCCACAGCCTGCAGTCTGCAGTCTGCAGTCCGTAGTCTTCATTTTACAATGACCAATATCAGAACCACTTTGGGCCACTTCATTTACAAGTGTCAGAAAGCCTTGTGGAGCAAAATTGAATGAAGACAAGCAGCTATGTGCTCTGATCAACAGTTTTAAGCTGGCTGACAACGGTTTTCAACACTTTCCTGCAATTATGTCAATACTGTCAATGTATCAATACTGCCTCTCTTTATCAAGTATTCCAACAGTACAAAAACAACTCAAAAGCTAGCTTGATGGCCCCGACAGTTGTAAGATCACTTGATAAAAGTGGTACTATTGCTCCGTCAAAGTATAACTGCTTAAAATGCCCTGGAAATTGTTGCTAGGCATCTTAAAGTCTCCCGGAAAGTCTGCAGGTTACTCAAGCATTGAAAAATTATACACATCACTTTAAGAAGTTAAAAATCACGGTCTTCCACGATATCTTTTAAAACTAAAGTTCACTTTAGCGCCAACCTTTTAAATAAAATGAGCACGACCACGATGCCACAATACTACTGACACAATCAACATCCAAAGGAACAGGAGATGGAACTACACTAGACGAGGGTTGAGGAGTCTCGTTGTCTTTACTGACAGTCTTATGGGCACTGAGCTGAGCAAAGCCATTGTATCCAAAGCCAAAACATTTATAGCTTCCCTTGGAGTTCAACGCTGACCTCGAGGTAGCTCTCTGCTCAGTTTCATCCATGAAAAACTTCAAATGGTCTTTTCTGCCTCCATCCGTCCGCCATTTTCTTCGCCAAGCACCCTGGCCTTCTTCTCAAAGGCTTGGATACAAAGCATAACCATGGAAAATCTAATTGCGCTTCGCCTTTTTTGAACATTCTCCTTTGTTGTTTGGTGTGAGATTTGGCATTAGTAAGATATTTTTCGTTTTTATTTTTGTTAGCTGTTGAAAATGTTTTCTACATTTCGCTGAAGACCAGGTGAATGTGATAGGTAATTCATGTGATGCCATCGTATCAAAATCAACGGCAGAAAAAGGCTTGCTGGAATTCAGCATCTCAATGGGGTGCAATTTCGGACTCTAACGGTTACATTTTACGTTAAAAATATTCGCCGAACACGAAAATATGAGCAGCAAAAGGACATTGGTTAAACAAAAAGTGACTTACGGGTCCGCGGGAGATGGAAATTTGCATGAAAGTGACGAAGATTTCTCAGGTAAACGAAACCCAACGAAACGAGTGTCGTTTGATAGCCATGAACTGAGCGACTCCGATTCTGATGCAGAGAATTCTCTTGGAAGGATTAATCGCTCCTCTGCAGGGCCAGCTGGTGATTCTCTTGACGGGTTGTTCAGAGAATCAAGTCCTAAAGACAGGCAACGATCTGAGGAGTCAATAAAAGGAAATTCGATAGAGAGGCAAGGCTCAAAAGATAAATATTCACGTCGCGAAGACAAAGGTATGTTTTTATTGACAAAAGTACGTAATTGACTGGATTATAGCGCTTTTAAACAACTATCTTTTTTTAACATTTGTTTGCACTTCAGTAGTTGGTGTAGTTCTGCTATACCACAAAGGTGGTCAGTCAGATCTGTCTGGACACTAGCAATTTTTGCTTACATGTAAATTGGAAATAAGAGAGGATGAGGTGTAAGAGAGTTTATTTCTCATATTGGCCTTATTCACATGGTAATCCCTCTTGAGTTATTTTTAGATTACTCTTGCTTTCAGAAATCCTAGAAGAGTATCAAAACAGCTAGTGCTGTAACACAGATTTTGCTCATGTGGTTAGACTAGAGGGCTTGGATTATGACACTCGACCGACTGACACTCGACCGATATGTTGGTTGACATATCAACAGACACTCGACAGCTATATCAACCGGGATATGTCAGTGGATATATCGACCGACATATTGGTCGAGTATTTGTCGATATATTGACCGACACTCGACCGATATATTAGTCGATATGTCAACCAAGAGTGGGTGTCCGATTGTCGGCCGACATGTCGATTGATAGGCTACCGACATTCCACCGATACTTCACTGATACTTGTGTACTGGTGATTGTAGTCTGAGTTGCAGACGTAATTTAACCTAGGTTAGTAACTTCCGCTGAGCAGCGTAGATATCCCTGTTCTACCTCCCCCCACCCCCGCTTCTAAGAGACTTCTTTGTATAAACCGAGGTAAGATGAGAAGGGGTCTCAACAGTGCTCACGGTTTTGTTCAAGTTAACCATTTATTGCTTTCTAAATCATATGAAAAAACTTCGGGCGAACTAGCTTTAGGTCAGGGCGAAACGACTTGGGGCGAAACACACCTGGGGCAAAACAACCATAATTCAACACAGCATAGTCAATGAGTGTTGGTCAATATGTCGACCGATACAGCAGTCGAGGGGTGCACAAATTACACATGATCCGAGGGCTTTACATGCAGTTTCATCCTCTATGAAACATCCACCCATCCACAAAGGAAGCAGATGTCATGTCTGAAAATAACTCGAAGGGGATTACCTTGGAAATAAGGCCTACATAAACTCTCTTATCTTCTGTTCTCCTGTTAGAGGGCCTGGTGGTCTCATGGTCAGTGCACTTTACCTCTGGGTAGACAGGGTAGCCGATAGGCTGCGGAAAAAAAAGACAAATTTTGCGGGATTTACAGAGACAAATTTGTGGAAAAAATGGCAGATTTCACGGGAAATTCACAGGAATTTTCAGGGTAAATTTTGCTGAAAAACAATTGGTAAAAATGGTCAATTTCGTGGGAGTTTTCTGGGAAAATTTCGCTGGAAAGCGATCGGTTTTGCACTGATTTGACGAACATTGGTGGCTAAAGACAGCAATTTTGCCTTTTTTGGGGGGGAAAATGAAGAGCTTTAGCCTATGCAACAACAACAGCAACAGAAACACAGACTACTTATAAGTGTTGCTTTTGTAAACCTTGCCATTTTGCAAGAAAATTTGAGCAACTCGTTTGGACTATAGTACATGTTTGTATTTGTTTGACAACAAGGTTCTTTTCAACAGAAATCATTATTTGCTCTTTTAACAACAATGTGCTCAAGAAATGCATCAGTGGCAAAGCTATTTACATCATGGCCACAGTGAGTGGCCAGTTTTTCACAACATTAATCTAAGAACGCCTGGTAGTTTTTGGATGTTGTTTACTCGTTGCAGTGATGACGTGTCACGTTAAATTTGCAAGTTTACCGCAATTAAACAGTTCTAACAGCCAAGATAAGTTTCAAATATGTTGCACCAACATGTATTTGATGCGATATCCAGTGAATTTCATGGTATTTTGCATGTTTTTGTGAATTTCACAGGATTTCGTGGATTTACTTGAAATTCGCAGCTCCGTGACGGTGCAAAATATCAGAAGCCCTGGGTAGAGTAGTCAAGGACATTGCGTTGTGTTTTTGGTACCTGCAAACTTAATGCTGGGGGATAACCCAGCAATGGACTAGCATCCCATCCAGGGGGGAGTAGAAATACATTGTACTACTAGTCACTTCATGCTACTGAAACTGGGATAAGTACTGGCCTGATGGGCCATTTGGCTCGTATACAGACTTTACCTTACCTTTCTCATGTTGGAACAAGGTATAGAATTTAAGAAGTGATCATTTGAAATACAATTTACTTGTGCTATCTTCTTATGTCTTCATTTAGAACAACCACGACCTGCCCCAAGACCTCGTCCCACTATTGCAGCGAGAAGGTCTAATTTTGAAGGTCACTCAGTCACTACATCACAGCAATCATCAGATGAAGATAGTGACAATTTGTCTGCCATAACTTGGCCAATGAAAACAAAGGAAACAAAGGAAGCAAAAGACAGACACCCAGTTCCACCTCCAAGGACATCGCCACGACAACATCAAGAAAAGAGTTCATCATCTGACATGGTTTCACCTAGGCCTGTGCCAAGATCAAGGCCTCCTTTGTCCTCTAGAGAAGGAAACATGAAATTATTTCAGAAAGACCCAGATGTTGATGAATACGAAAGGACTAAGCATTTAGAGAGAGATTCTGGAGTTCACGAATATGAAAAGACTAAAAATACTCCAGATAAACCTATACCTCCTTTAAGAAGGAAAAAGACATTCGAAGAAACACAAGAAAATCACACTAGAGCCAAAATTCCCATAGTAAGAACTTCTACATTTGAGAATGATGGACCATTTCTGGATAAAAATGATACAGCAGAAATTGATCAAGCGGGAAACTTAAGACATGGCCAATCGCAGAAGGTTAAAGGTCGACCTCTGATTTCAGTAGCAAGGTCTGACTCTTCTGAGGAAAGTGAAGATGATTCAAGAAAGATTAATAGAACAGGTCTGGTTGGTAGTAAAAAGTATTTTGAGGAAGAGCAGAGTCACGACAGGACATTCGGAGACCCCAAGGAGGAATCTGTACCACCAAGGGTACCGCCAAAGCCATCGCCTCGAAGTCGCATGATGTTTGACAATTCTATGAAAAATCATGAACCATCTGAAGAGGAAGGCAATCATGTAAAATGCTCAGGAAGTACTCCTTTGTTGAAAAAATCGTCAAGTCTTGAGACACTGCCGTCCAAACAGGGTTCACTTGCAAACAAGAAAGCACTTTCTGGATCAAAAGAACAAGGGGTTCAGAAGGTACAACTGAAAAAAAGTCTCACTCCACAGAGACCCATGAGTGCTAAAAAAGGTTCCTTGATGACCAAGCTGAAGGCACAATCAGATATAACAAATACTTTTGAAGAGCATGTTCCTTCAACAGCAGAGAACATTATTGGAATCCAAGATGATAGAGTTTTTAAAAAGAAAGGTGCATCAGATTTTGATTCAGGTAATTAACAGAGCTAGAGTTCATGAAAGTACAGAGGTAAAAAATTAATGGTTGTAAAAAATGGTAAAATGACAGTCAACAATTCTATAAAAAAAACGTGAACCATTTGTAGGGGAAGGCAATCATACAGAAGGGCTTACATTTTTTTATTTCTAAATATTTGTACAGTGTGCATGTACCTACAGATATGACATCAATAACAAGTAGCATTTAGCTATTTCTAACTCACACACGGTGTTTTACTATGATCAACAGTGTACGTGTTAGTCTTCTGAAATGAAGTCACGTGTGCAGGCTGCAGAAATAAGTATGAACAGCTGCATTTATAGAGAGTGTACATGCATGTACATGTACTCGCCCAAATTATACTGAAAAATAATATCTGCTAATTCAAATGGAAGGGTCTGCTTTTTTCTGAAGCCCTTTGTAGAGTAAACAACCAACCGACCGTGTAGCCAACCCACTGACTGACCGACCAGCTGCTACTGACTCAATGACTGTTTCCATTTCTGGTGCTCACACTTCTATTCTAAAAAAAAAGGGTCTAGGACTGACTACACTGTAACTCACCTGTCTGACTGACTAACCAACTGGCTGACCCACTGACTGACCATTCAGCTGTCACTGACTGTATGATTGGCAGATTAACTAACCAACTGAATAATAGGTCAGTTGATACAAATTTATTATGTACGTGGCTTAATATTCCAGGTGGTGGTAGGTCAGGACCCCTAAGGGCCAACCAAGCAATTAGCACAATGACCCGATCACCACACCCTAGAGAAACACCTACAGACTTTTGGAGAGGCACTAAAAGTGCTACTCATGGCAGCACTTTAACACCAAAGAGATCCTCATCAATGACAAATTTAAGAGGTGCAAGTCCAGATTCCTGGAGTGAAATGGGCAGTGAGAGGGTATCACAAAATGGTGGCTTGATGGACACTGCAATAATACGTCAGGCAGTGTTTGACGAGTGGAGGACAAAGAAAAGTGAAAGATTGAAGGAACAGCTGGCCAGCAAGGCTGCTGAGAAGAAAAAGCTTGAGGAGAAAGAAAAGGAAGAACATGAACGTAAAAAAATGGTAAATTTAACAAACTGTGTACTTGTAATGGGACAAATGCATGGGTTATTGACCAACCATGTTTGGTTAAGTTGGCTGGATATTGGCCAAGTTCTTTTTTGCATGTTTATGGACTCAGACAGAGTCGAGGTCCATAAACATGCCAAAAAAGAAAGAGGTCAATATCCAGCCATCTTGACCGAACAAGCTTGCTCAATAAAGGATTTATTATATGGAATAAAAAATAAATTTTTCTTGCAGGACACAGCATGTGATCTTGAGTGGGCGAGATAGCACCATCTAGCCCGCTTGACTTGCTAATTTGTATTAAGAAGCCAACCTCAAACCTTTTTTAGGTTTTCCCTCCTTTTCACCAATGTTGGAATTTGTTTTCATTCAAAACTACTAAAACATTATAATTTTAGTTCTTTAACTCCCTCCAAATCTTTACACAATCCTTAGCTAAATTAAATGTGTGTGCTAAATACAACACTTCAAAACTCATTAAACTAAATACCATCACAAAATTAGGCTTATTGTGCAATGTTGTTAGGTAACTAAAAAGTTTTTTAAAATTTGTTTAATTTTTCCTAGGCAAAGAGAGCATTTGAATCCTGGAATGAACAGAAACAAGAAGAAAACAAAGGAAAGAATGCCAAGAAAAAAGAGTTGAGGGAAAAAGAGCTAGAAAAGCAAAAGGAGAAAAACCTTAAAGCTAGAGATGCCAAAAAGTACTTTGAATCTTGGAAAGCAAAGAAAGATGAAGAACTTAAAGAAGAACATCAGAAAAAGAAAGAGGAACAGCACAACAAGAAAAAGAAGGAAGAAGAAGAAAAGCAAGAAAAAACCTTGAGTGCACAAAAAGTTTATGAAAATTGGTGAGATGCTCTTATCAAATATACAGTCACGTAACTTTAGTTTAACTTAAACACTACAAACTACATGTATGGAGATATTTCAACAATTACAATTGTAACAGCTACATTATGGTGACTCCAAATGGCAAACTGCCCACTAGGAACATTCTACCTGATCTACAGGTTTAGGAAATAGCCAAAGAAAATGTGCTTGCCGATTGGTCTAAAATTGTGTTTCTATAACCCATTGGAAACACAGAACTATCATGAGCTGTTCACATGATGATGGTGCAAGCAAAGAGAATTTACATTTTGATGATGAAAGTACACTATTTGTTTTCTTTTTTTAGTTGCAACATTTTCTAAAACAAAAATAGAAAACGTGTTCTCCGTGTTTCTATTGAGTTATAGACTGAAACACTCCTGGAAGTTTGGGAGAACTTGAAAATGCTGTGGAAACACTTGCCTGTCACCTCATGTTCCCACAGCATTTCTCATTCTCCCAAACTTCCACTCATGTTTCTACATTGTATCCATAACTTGAGAAAAACATGGTACATGATTTTTATTTCTTAATTAATACACAATGAAAAGAATAATACCCTGGTGCACTAGCTGCTCGCTAGTTTCCAGTTGCACTGTATCGGTTATAAGAAAATATCTTCTAAGCTGAATTGGAAGGAAATTCAATTACAGGGAGTATGGGGTAAAGAACAAATTTGAGTCCCTGACAGGGATGTGACAGGAGTCAAGCCCATGTCCTTCTGCACTCCAGTCAGATGCTTTCATGTCAATCGATATGTACAATGTAAGCACATTAATTTTGAGACAAGTGAGGTGAATGTTAAGTCTATCCTGCCCAGTACATTTTGATATAACTACATTTGCTTTGCATCTTCAAGAGTGACTTGATATCCTTCCTTTCCACTAACTTGTAACTAATTCATGAGTTAGTGAAAGAATAATTATGCAGTTTGGCAACCTACATGTACAATGTAGGTATTTAATGCAAAATCGCTCAGCACCTTATACTCATGACACGAAAAGCCAAGTTAATGTTCGCAAATTTGAACCAACAAACCCATGGGTTCCAATTTCACTGAATTCTGTCACGTAGGAAAAAGAACAAGGATGAGAAGATAAAAGAAGAGTTGAAGAAAAAAAAGAAGGAAGGACTTGATAACACCATGAAGGAAGAAGAGGAGAAGTATGAGAGAAGTATTCAGTGTGCAGAACGGTATCAGGCTTGGGTGGAGAAAAAGGGGAAACCACAGAGAGGTCCTCCCCCACCAACACTGACACAAAGGTACTTGTATACCACTTCCCACAAAAGAAACAAGTAGTGCTACAGTATTTGCTTCCTTAAACTTAGACTAGCTTTAGATTTTTGTTAGAAATAAAGTTAACTATGCTTGCCAATATATCTCTACTGGCCGTAATGTAGATTCATAGGCATGCAATGCATACAGAGGGTTAATATAATCTTGCCATCAGCAGCCTTTGCATGTATTGCAAGTTTGTATGCAACACAAAAAATAAACGTAGCTACTAACAGTAATGTGCATCATTTTTTCCTACATGAGAACACTTTTCCTCTGCTGTAAAAAATATTAATGATCACCTTCAAGGAATGCTTACTTATTTTTAACAAAGTACATGTACATTATAATTTTTTCGTTTACGAGTGTGAACAGATCACTTTGATTAAGTTATACCTTGGTCCCTGCGATAGTTATACAGAGCAACTTCAATGTCAAAACTAAAATATTGATTTAGACACTGACAAAACTTAGCAAAACAGCAAAATCTCTGTTTACAAAGCTGAAAGGGCTGTTTTGTTGGCACATTTGTAATCATTTAGCATGTTTACTTTGTCGATGTACGCAGTTGTAAAATTATGTGATCTGACATTTCGTTATCATATTGTTATCTTTAGGAGCTGGTGCCCAAGTGGCAGAAAGTCAAACAATTGCATTCCAGAAAAAGTTGGGGGTGTGATTCAGGCACCCTCTCCCAACAGATCACGAACCATGTCAGGATCATATTACTTCAAGACTAACAAGGTACTGGACATGCACCCCCATTTTAATACATAATTTTATTTAATAACCTATTTGGACAACCTCCCTAAAAGCTTGCATATCTGTTGTCATCATCCCTAGAGGGGTACTACAAGATCAAAGTGTCTTACCCAAAAATGACCCTGGCCAGATCTTTTTATCTGCACTCTGAAACACTAACAATAGTCAAGTCAGACACCTCTCAGATGATGTTTTGTTTTTGTTTTACTTTGTTTTGTTTTTTAACAAACCAGTCTGTAGTTTTCAAGAGCATTTAAAATAGTTGTGTTGTACAAAGTCAAGATTGCATTACAGCTATCAAAAAAATCTAGCAGAGATTTATGAAAATGAAATGGTAAAAAAAAAAAAACTATGATAAACCAATCACATTTTCTTTTGTTTTCTTTCTGCAGTTTTAACCCACAAAATGATAACAGTGCTGGACTTGGCTAAAATGTGAACACATTTTAATATACCTGTTTTTTTGTTTTTTGTTTTATTCTGTATAGTACTATGGCTTACTTAGTTGTTTGTTATTTGTTTTATGACTCAGATGTTTAGAGCATCATTGAACATTATGGGAAATCACACTTAGTACAGTTATACTTTTAATTATTTATTGTTAATTTTATTTCAAACCAAATTCATGATCACTAGAAAAGTTGTAACATTATTGTAATTGTGACTTCAGTGGACTATTTTAAAACATATACCACTTCTAACATTATTATATATGTTGGACTAGTAAGCTAAGTTTATTAAATCATATAGTGTTCATTGGTGGTAAAATAAAAATTAATACCAGTACATATTTTTAAAAGGTCCATAATTTCAGAAACTGGTCAGCTGAAATGTTCTGTACATTGTAATACTGATGGTTAAAATCTCAGTAGATGTATTTAAATGTGTTTCAGTCAATTCATGATTCATTTTCAACAGAATGCATCAAACATATATTACTTATAACTAATACACATTGCTATTGTCAAAACATGTCAAAACAATTAAGCAAGATTATGAAAAGTAATTTTGCTTGATACCATGTACGTGATTTTGTAGTGTGGTATTGGGTGGGAGTCGTTCTAAAATTATACTAGGCTGCCCAACTCTCTGCCAAGACATGGGCACAACATCAGTATTGTAATCACTGGAGCTGTAAGTCAATATTTGTCTAGTAAAAGTGTATGTAGGGCACAAAGGAAATAAAATTTAACTGAGTTTGATAATAAGAGTGACTTTCATTGAAGTGAAACAGGTGCTGCAGTCTTAACACTTTGTTAGTCTGTAATTAGTAAACCCCTGAGAAAATTCATCACCTGAGGCGCTGTTGTACAGTAAAAACCTGCATAAAAGAACAAGTGGAGTAAGAACACTCAGGCTGAAATTTGGTCAAAAAAGTACCATATACATAAGAACACATTCAAGCTGAAAGATGAAAATTGTTCCTATATCAAAAAATTGGCTGCCAGTTAGATTAGAATAACAGTACTAAGTACACTACTGAGTAGATCAATATATGTGCTACACATTAACTAATTAAAATGTTGTGCTTGCACTTTGATTTCATCTGTTGGTAGTCTATCCAGTATTTAATTTTTAGAAACAATTTTAAGAACACCTTAAGACCATTTTCAGGCTGATTTTGCAGAAAACACGTGATATATAAGAACAAAATCAGCCTGAAACCCCAAAACCTGTGTTCTTTTATGTGGGTTCTTACTGTATCACAGAAAAGTCTGTTCTTTATGATTAATTTAAATTGGATATATGTTTGGGAAAGATAAAGGAAAAGACCACTTTGCCACAGTTCTTCATCATTTTTTTTTTTTTACTGATCATTGGGTTTTAGAAATATACAGCAATTATTACAGCTAATGATTAATTTTAGAGATTTGAACGTTACAAACAAAAGTTTGGACCTCTAGCTACCCATCCCAAATATTCTATTGGCCGTAAACAATAGATCAAAATCCTGCTGATCAAAATGTTCACAAATCTGTTATACCATGTGAACATGCTTGTTGATTGCCAATGTCGACAGTAATTCAAAATAACTCAATTATTGGCAGAATAAACGTCTCTGAGATATAAGAAATAATAAAAATAATCTATAATAAAAATAAATTTATTGAATTATATCCTTTACTCTATATTTTCATCACAACCTGCTGGGGTCAACTATCATTAATTTTTTATCAAGCTGTATGAGAGAAAGGTTTAAAGAGGTGCAAATGAGAGAGAGAGAAAAGCCAATCTGTTACACTTCTCAACAAAACACCTAAGAGTCCAACACCCATTCTTTTTACATTTTTAGACATGTGTGGCATACAGACCACATACAAGTAAGCATAAACGACAGCTACAAAAAAATTTATTCTCTATGTGCTTACAATTTGCTTGAGCAAGCTATGGTTTGGTGATTCCCAGTGATGAGATTATGTGAAAAATAAGAGCTTTTGTCCTGTGCTTAGAGTGAGGCCCTGTGAGGGCATTGCACCAACAAAAATTCAGCGTTGATGATCAAGCATGCCCTACAGTTGTCGGTGTTTTCATTGCAGCTTTCATCTTACAGTGCTGCAATCCATTTCTTGTGTTCCTGCCATGGTTTCCTCCTCTTCATTACCAGGAAATTCTTCTTCTAAGCCCTCTTCCACATTTTCCTTCAGCAGCTCCACCTGATAGTCAGAGCTGGAATGCTCAAAGTAACTGGTTATGTGATGCTGTCAAATACAAAATATTGCACCAAAAGTTGACTGAATGTTGTATAGGTTAATATACAACAAAGTGTCTGTGATTTAACAGTCATGATTCTTGTAGAGTAGGATCAAGTGTAAGTTACGTGCTAGGTGGGGTTCATCTCTCTAGATTTTACAGCACAACCAGAGGCGACTACCTTTTGCCTTTTTTCATATACATGAGCTTAAGTGCTGGGCACTCAGGATTTCATGGTTAGGGACTTTTGGATTTCATCCAGGACCACCCTATACAGCATAATGCACATCAAAGTACTGGTACATGTGTAAATGTTGTGTTAATTTGTTTCATTTGTTTACCTCTCTAGATGGCTTGATACAGCGAATCATGTAATCCAGCCTGAGTATTGTCCTTACCAAGAGGTCTTTGACCTAGAGAACACCAACAACAAAACTGTATACATGCAGTTGCAGAAAACATCACAAACTTATCATATTGCCATGTAAAATGTCCCTGTTCTTATTGGAAGCACGCTTTCTGAGCCTAACTTTGATTTGGAAGGATTAAGTGACTGGGTCCAGGCATACAGTGCTACATTACTCACTCTGGATAACATGCTTCTGGATCAAACATTTTAGAAATAAAAACAAATAACATGGATAGCAAGTTTCTCTTAACACTGTAGGCTATCCCCAGTGTTTTGCTGGGTTGCCCTAGCTTTTTGTTCGTAAAGTGCCTTATCCGAGAACACATCACAATGACACCAGAAAGAGTTTAACCATGTACAGGCCACCTTCTACACTCATAAATTTTATTTTCTTTACAGTTGCCTTAATTAGTAATTTTTTTTTCTGATAACAGGGCCTGATCCAGGATTTTATTTAAGGAAGATGTTTGGCAGTGCATGTTCCTCCAGTACAAGACAGATACAAGCAACATCAGATCCCATGGGGAATGCTGGGGGAAGGGAAACAATTTCTGCAAAATCTGATCTGCCTGTGTACTTAAGTTCAGTCCCTCTTATAGGACTTCAGCAGTTAAGAAACAAACTGAAACTTTGAATGGCAATGTTTATAGAGCAACTGTCACTATTTATTCTAACACACCTTTGTTCTGTTCATGAAAGCAGCCCTTGGGTCCTTGATTTCTCCATTCAATGTTCTCAGCTTATTGGTCAGCATTTCAAGAGGTGCCTGACACAGAGTGGAGAAAAAAATAGTCAGTTGCCAAAAAATGTACACAGGGAATTCTGCAAGAGCACAGAGTTTCTCCTCCCCCCAGTATTGGTCCACATAATAACATGCTGCTCCAGCTAGAGAGGTGTCCAACTGGGTGTCAGCTAAGGAGGCTTGCTCGGAAAAGTCGACTGAAAAAGGTTGTAACTCATTACTGTAAAATTGACCTATAATTCTTGGTGCAGAAAAGCCTTAACAATGCTCGTAAAGACACAAAGAAATTTTAAAATTAATTATAGTCAAACTGCCACTAACAGCCACCTCCCTACAACTGCCAACTTTCTACAACTGCCAGTTTTTTTTTGTTTTTTGTTTTCATCCCGGCGGACAATCCATACATTTTCTCTTATTTTAACCTCTCTACAACAGGCACCTCTCCACGATGAAGATGGCCACAAAAGCGTGTTCTAAACTACCAAAATAATCTTTCCACAACAGCCAGTTAATCAACAACTGATGAAAGGTGTAAACCCCATTTTATATTGTAAAAGCTCCCGAACCGTAACGTGCGTCGTTGATGTCTGTTTCTGTATGGTTTCTGTTTTCTTGATATATTTTAAATGTGTTTAATTAAGTATTTCAATGCTACACTAAGTATTTTTTTTTAATATAAAAATGTTGCCCATCCCCCCCCAAAAAAAAAATACAGGTGTCATACTACACCTCTACCTCCCCATAACAGCCACTTTCATCTGTCACAAAGGTGGCTACTGTAGAGAGGTATGACTATGATTGTGCTGGTAAGAATTTTTAGGGGGCTGGTAAGAATGACTGTTGGTTTTGTTTGCCCCTTATTGGTAATGTGGGTCTGAATCATGTTTAGATGGCAGAATAATCCAATTTTGAAAGGATAGTCACACATGTTCCACTGAAGTTCCACAGATGCACCTGTTCCATATCCACCCACTGACTCACGAATTTCTTGTGCATACACAACAAAATCAATGTTAACCTGCTCTTGGACTGTTTAATAATAATTCTTACCCTTTCTCTAGATGGCAGGTCTTCACTTCCAACTGCAAGGCCCACAAATGAGATTATTGTGTGCAACAGAAAATAGTCTGACTCCTCTCCTGGTCTGATCATTGTTACAAGTTCTACCAACTTTGAAACCTGCATAAAAATGGGAAAAAAAATCAATATGCTGTTGTAACGAGTGTGGGGAATTTACCTGTAGTTCAACCTTAGGATTGAACCCAAGTCACTGGTATTAGGAGAGTAACCCTGACCAACTATATGTACCGGTGTTGACTCAAAATTGTGAGATAACTAATGTCACCTCTGAAGAAAGTGTCGGCCCCACAGAAAACTAAAAATTGCCCTAAAATTTAATAGCCCATTTCAGACCCAACTACCCCTTTCCCTTGGACAAACATAGGCACGCAAGGCGTGCAAGAGTTATTTTTTTGTGTGAAGTGTAGGAGATAGGAGCATTCATGGAGCTGTTTACAATAATGATTTGGTTAATTTGACAAGTTTTTTCGGTTACGATGTACAGCAAGAAAGAAACTGAGAATTTATGATGTACATGCAATGTTACATCGGTCATGGTAAGATAGCTAAATAGTAAGCCATGAAATGTTTGACTGAACAAACTACAGTAATCTGACACATCTCCAGATTAATGTAGATACCATCTTATTTCTAACAGGCAATTTGATTCGTTCTTTGATAAAACCCACACTGTGATTGGTGTGACACACGCACATGCATAACTCCCTCATTCACTGATCACAAAGCCCTTCCAACCCCCAAGAGGAATTTTTGCTCAAAAATACTCAAGTTAAATAAGAGACCTTTTTGCATTTTATACGAGTCGTAAGTTTACTCTTTTTACACAACACAACACAACACCACTTCACCAAAAACAGAAAGAAAGAGAAAAAAAACCTCTCTGACATGTTGAAAATCTGATTTAATTAAATTGCACTTTAACTTGGTGCCACGCAGGCTTCAAGGAACATTTGAGCAGTTTTCATACTTTCTACCTTTAAAAATATCGGACTGAAATGAATGTCATCAAGTAAAACTATTAAACTGCTACTGCAGAGATGTAAAAAACGTCCAGAAATGAAAGCTTCTTTTTTGTTTAACATCTTAGAAACAATAGTTGATAACTTGTCAGCTCTAATTGAATTTACTCCCATATAAAAAACAAAAGTGTTAAGTTACCATTTGTAACTAAAGATAGCAAACATCTCATGGGAAAGAGTGGTTACGATTCGTCAGCTCTGATTGAATTTACTCCCTTATGAAAAACAAGAGTGTCAAATTACCCTTTGTGACTAAAAAATAAAAATATCTTGTTATATTTGCATCCAACAAGAACAAAACAACCGTTACCTGCACTTACTATTGTAAATGTTAGAACTCTTTCAAATCTAAATACATGTAAATGTAGTCTCGTCTCCTCTAAAACATGTCCTTAGAACTACAAGCGACGATTCGTGACCTCTAATTGAATTTACTCCTTGTGAAAAACAAAAGTATCAAGTTACCGTTGTAACTAAAAATGAAAATATCTCGTTCAATTTGCATACTACTAACTCACGCACTGTTTCAAACCTCAAGGCTCATCTCGTTCATAACTAAAATCCTCAGACTAACCCACAGAAAATGTTGAAGTAAACCCAATATATGAATACTTCCTCNACGCGCCAACTAAGAGGTATTTTTTTTTACAAAAAAAATAACTCAAAAATTGACCTAGTTTAAAATTATCCCGACCTAAAATATTTAAACTGCTACAAATATACTGTGTGAAGGATAGAATATTATTGTAGATCCCATCTCACCTCCATGGTATCTGGAACTGTGACATTGCATCTCTCATCTACAAATCTCTTTCCAGTCTGTTCTTCTTTCCCAAACTTAAGTACTAACCAATGAACAAGTGTCAGACTAAGACGACGTTGAAGTTCAATGCCATAGGTTGAAGGTGGCTGAATTTGAACAAGATACAGAAGATTCCGGTGCTGTGTGCTCAGTTTTGCCACAATACTACACAGCTCTTTTACCTGGCATTCCAACATAAAAGATCAATTAATTTTTTGCGTGGGCAGCCTCTACAGGTATATAATGCTTTCCCCCCAGAGAATTAATTTAAGTCCGTGAGCATGCACTGTTTCAATTGCTCTTCCTTGCCAAGATGGTGGGTCCACTCATGTCAATAAAGTTGTTGCCAGTGCTTGAAAGTAACTTTAATACATTTGTATAATTTTACTGCAACTTTTTCATGAAGATGTGTTGTTAAAATTAAGTCCACAATAAAATGGCTGTTATTAATGACTTTGTAATACTCCTCTGCTAGGAATCAGGTGTTGTGTGTCTACACCTGTTTGAGTGAAAGCATCAACCTATTTTGTCTCACTCACTCAAACTTTGATTTGGATTACAAAGATGTCAGCAACAATAATAATTATGGTCACTTTAATGGTCACTTAGGCAGACTGCCTCTTGAATAGAATCCTCCCAACTGGTGTAATCTGTACAAGTATAAATCCCTTCCTCCAAATCTTTCAGATTATACATGTGTTAACATCCCAAGAGATCAGCCAAAACTCTGTACCTCATCAGGCCACTGTGTCGCTCCAAAACAGTTCAGCAATGCTGCAATGCACATCTCAATATCAAACACAATACTTTGAAGTCTTAAGTCCAATGCTATCCGACACATCAGCACCATGAGGTTCCTTAAGTCCTGAACTGTGTATGATAGAGGACACTTCTGAAGGCAGTGAGTAAGAAACTGTACAAGGTGCATTATATTTACAACAGGGAAACATTCAGACTGGGTTCCACCATTGACTGTTTCTTCTTCCATCTTGATTTCTTCTGAGGAATTCTCACTTGACAAAATGTCCTTTACATTTAATTGATCCACCACATCTCCAGGATAAAGTCTGGGTACCGTGGCACCACATGACAGCAACTCTTTTAGGAGTTTTTTGATACTAGGAACCCATGATGTTCCTCTGGAGTGTTGCGGAATATCCTCTCTGTTCTGCAATAAAAAGTACTAGCAAGATGATACCACCATGATGCACATTTTAGGATCTTGGTTTTCTGTTGTTCCTGCTTATTACTCGTAATAAGGTAATATGGTTTACTCCCCTGATTCCCTTTCCATTATTTAGCATCTGTAGCCTAAACTTATTGTTTATTTTCCGTTTATATTCGGTCATACATGTACCTTGTAAAAATAGTTCTTGTAAGAGTATAACAGAAGTGTCAACAAGGAGACGTCTGGAGTGAAAATAATCATGTCAAGAAATAGTTCAACAAATCTATACACTGTAGCTTATCTTGCCTCTAGCACTATCTTACCTCTGCAGCTGCCTCAAGCATAACCCAAAGGACTTGAAAAGATGAACTTATAATATGCTGATCTCTATGATGGCACATGATCTGAAACAGCCATTCGGCAACCTCTGGAGGGCAAGGCTTGTCCAAGTAGTGCTGCAGTATCCAACCCCCACAGAGCAACTCCTGAAGGTTACTATCTGATGCCAACATCAGCTTGGCCTCAAAAGTGTCACCTTCTGGTTGAGGAACCATTGACAGACAAGGAAAATCCTGTGACTAAATTCCGCGTACAACAAGAAAGGAGACAAGTGATGTTCAAGTTAAAGACCAACTTCAAACAATCCACGTATCACATGTTCTGTACTACACACAAACACTGTCATCATTACACAAAATGAATAACAATTATTATACAGGTGAACTGATGTTCAAGGGGTCTTTGAAGTTTGTAATAACTTGAGCAATAACTGAAATCTATTTTCCAGCAAGATCAGTCCCAACACACATTGGGTTGGAAATTGCATAAGATTTTGCTCAATCTCTCAGACAAGTCTCTATCCTTTATCTTGCTTGGTGCATTTGGAGAAATTTTTGGAGTTGTTGAATGCTTCAGATTTCAATGAATTTTAAGAATAGAACCTAAACAGTCTGACTCTATGCGATGTAGATAATATTTAAATAAGTCTTTGTTTCCAAGTGTAATTTAAGCCAGTACAGCTGTCTTTCAGCCAGTGAAATTACTGAGCAAGTCCCTCGCTACATGAACATCCCTAACACACCCGTCATAAAAACATCAGAAACTTACCGTAACATAGGGATGAAACATTGGGAAAATGTCCTCCCCTGGTAGTTCTTCAGAAAAGTCAGGCACCTCTCCAAGGAACCTTTTGATATCCTGCGGCAAGGTGCAGTCTCTCAGGTCACGCCCATCTGAATTCAAAGGACATAAATAACTGCAAGTTATTTCCTCAAGGGAGCATACCCCTAGTACTGGCAAGTAACTACTGCATTTCAATAACGTTAATCCATAAATTATAAGTTAATTTAAATCAGTAACTTGTCTTTGTATTTGTTTCAAGCTATGCTTTGTAAAGAGGTTAACTGATGGTCACTTTAGAGAGAGCTAATGTTAACATCGGAAATAAATGGTGTGACTCCAGCTAAAGATGTCCATTTCAGGGTACTACAGTACCGCTCAAAAGTAAGTTACCACCTCTCGTCTCGTTTCTCGCGAGACGAGACTCTCGCCTCGCGAGACGAGAGTCTCGTCTCGAGAGACGAGACTCTCGTCTCGCGAGAACCATTGAAGCGTATATTTTGGAATGAATTACAAGCAATTAGCTTGCGAGAAAACGATTAAATNTGATGTTGAACTCGCCTACATGTACATCGATCGATAAAAGGCTTTCGGAGAACCCTACAAACAAAGAGAAACGTTTAAAAAATGAAATGGCTTTATAGGAGTTTTTAATAGCAAATGCTGCGAGATAAGCTGTGTCACAGAGCTCGCTTAACTGCAAAGTTTGCTTCACAATAGGCTATTAAAATCTCGCGAGAAGTTCAGGCAACCGTACTTACAGTTTTTTAAAGCTCTTGCGAGACGAGACTCTCGTCTCGCGAGACGAAAGTCTCGTCTCTCGAGACGAGAGTCGCGTCTCTCGAGACGAGAATCTCGTCTCGCYAGAAGGTGGTAACTTACTTTTGAGCGGTACTGTACATGACCAATTCAGAGAGGGAGGAGTCAGTTATAAGGTGTCACAGTTTAGAGTGGTGTTTAGTGTGACGTTTGTACAATTTAGAGAGGGTTATTGTTTTGAGATATCTACTTGCAGGTACTAGGCTTAATATGTGATACACTCATGACAAAGCACTTCAACACAAAACTACAACAGAAGATGACTTTTCCACTACATGTATGAATATTTTCACATCTGTTAGTGTCTAATAAAATTGGTACCAAAAGTACTGTCAGTATTACAAGCAATCAAATACAGATAAATACATGTAAGAACAAAATTAATTTAAAATTTCATTTCTAGATGAAAAAACTAAAACAACTTTACACTAGATTTTAGGGGAATTGCACTGCCCAGATACGTCTAGTGAATCTCTTGGTAATGCACTCTTGCCAAGCTTACCATCTGTTAGTTCTTCCTCTGATTCAATATCACTGAAGGTGCTTGGTACTTGCATTTGAACAATGCCTCCATTTTCTATCCCTCTCTGTAATTCTGCTTCCATTTCAGCAAGCTCAGCATCTCTTTCCCTGTGCTTGGCCTTTTCAGCAATTAACTTGTCAAAGGAAAGTTTATATTTGATGCTCTTCTCTTCTTTGGCAGTAACATTCCCAATAACAGGGGATGGGGTTGCATAGGCCGGTGCTATTCCCTTTTCTGGAGTACGGATATCTGGTTTCATTTTTGCCTTTTCGGAGAGAAATCTTGGCGGTGTTAAAAGGTCCTCATCTGAAGAATCTGAACCATCGGGGAAAGCCCCATCATTTAAGTCCTCCTGAAAGTGTGCATCATTAAATGGCTTGCTGATCTGGTCACTTTCTTCACCACTGTCTTCTTCTTTGAGATCGTCACAACTGCTCTCTTGCTCTCCATCCTTAGCATCACAAGAACCAGACTCATCTGACAAGTCACAATCATTTGCAGTTTCATTGAATTGTGGATCATCTAATGGCTTGTTGACCTGGTCACTGTCCTTGCCATATTCTCCTTCCTGAAAGTCATCACAAACACCATCATGTCCTGTTTTTAAGAGATCATCAAAACCGCTTTTATTACATGTATCTGTATTCAAATTTTCAGTGTTTGACTTTAAACAACCCTGCAACTCAACTTCCTTTGTTAATGAGCCTGCTGATGGTGTGATATCACAGTCCTCGGTACATTTTCCGGCACTCAAAACAACACCAAAATCTTGTTCCTCTTCAAGGTCATTGCATCTGATACTTTCACCAGTGCTTGAATCTTCAGTTTTTGACTTCTGACTAACATTGTTATGTGTGCCTGATTCCTTGGTTAATGAGATTTCAGTTGAAACTATTAATTCGCTTTGGTTTTCACTTTCACTGTGTGAGTCACTGTTGCAAGAATCTGTAGGACTTCCTTCAAATGAATAATATGTGGTGTCAACTTCTTCACATGTTGAGTGGAAGGTTTCATCACAGTCCATGGCACTGGTTTCTGCTGTTGGACCCCTTTTGACTGATCTTCTATTCAAGCTAACCATAGGGCTTTTGTCTTCAAACATGGAGGACTCCCCTGGTGATAATGCTGCATGATTATTCACATGTGGAGCACTGCTGTCTAAGCTCAGCATTGTGCTACTGTCCTCAGAACCAGAACTGCTCTTTGCGATTTGAAGTTTCTCTAAAATTGGTGTCCTGAATTCAGTTTCCTTTGTTGATTCCTGTTTTGAAAAGTTGTTCATAGAGTTGCAACTTTTTCTTGATCCTAAAATATTAAAGAAAAACAAGTAAAAGTAAGTAACAAAAGCTGATGGCACATAGTGAGCTGATCTAGGTGTAAGTCTTCATAAGGCAGTACATGCACTGTACATGTAATTCAATTCCATTTTATTGGCAGCAAACTATTGTCACTCCTCCTGGTTGCTTCATATCTCTTCTTGTTAGTTGGAGATTTTAAAGGTACACATAGCTCATGACTCAATGAAAATAACTTTTTTTGTTTCAGTATAAAATAAATATTATACTGTACAGTTTATTATACAGTTTTATGGAATTTTTCTCTCTTTTTCAAAGTCTGTGCTTACAATTGAGTTGTAGCACTATCTACATGTATTACTGAATACAAAGTAAGCCCCGACAAAACATAGGGATGACTATAATTGACAGAGGTATTAAATGTAGATTTCATATCCAGACAACAGACTTCAGCGTCATCATTATGGAATAATTTACCTTGAGGTATCAAACTCTTGAAAAATTTTGTAATTTGTTGATTTCTAAGGAAGAAACAAACTGTCTTCTCAGTACATATAAATACCGGTAAAAGACTAATTAGATACTGCATGTATTATGTTACCATTGTGTTATGCACCGGTCATTTGAACCCTTCCCCCCAACCCCCATTCGGATATACCCAGGGCAAACTGGGGCTTTTAAATTTTTTTTCACTCGATTTAGGTTCCCCAGTAGTCGGGGAATGCACCTTTTTTCATGCCTTCACTATACAATGCGGGGTCTGAGCGGGGTTTGGAGGGGATTTCACTAGTGGTTTGCAACCTTTTTAGAAGACATGGTCGCAAAACACACGGAGGCTAAACAACTGATGAAGAAGGTATTATTTCAATCACTTAATATCATGCTTCTTCAGAGCCACCTTGACTTCAGTGGTAATCTATTCAATGAATTGTGCTTGATGTTTAGAGGGCAGGGGAGCTCACTCCAAACTTTTTGCCCGCAAGACAGGGCTTTCACTGCATTTCACTTACTGTAAATACCCCAGGTATGCCCCAATGGAGGGGTGGGGGTTTCAAATGACTGGTGCATTGCTACAACTGCACTCATTGCGTTGTTCTCCTTTCACTCGCCTCCAGAAACCAAGAGCCTGGAACTGGCTAGGGGTATCATTAAGGTTAAGCAGTTATTCTTCTTTGATTCGCTGTACTGTTATTATATTTGAAGTATACAATAGGATAGAACAGAGGTCCCTTGGTTTGTTTTGCTGGTTGTTTACAAGTAATAAAAACACTCTGCAGATTTTCACCTTCTGCTGACTGCACGTTGTCTGAAGGCCTAAACTAAAGCCCACTATTGTAAAAACAATATGCTACGCTGGAGCAAATTTTCATTTTCACCTTGATAAAATATAGCTTATCAATTCTTTAAAACGCCACAAGCCGATAGTAAGTGTACTGAGCCCTCGATCGAGGAGCAAACGTGAAGTTTTGTACTCGAGCACCATATATTAGGTTCACAACTACTTTCTCAGAACAAACACCGCTCGAAGAATGCAAAAAAATTACGTTGTCACGTACCCTTTCGCTTTGTCCGCAGACGGCTGCTTTCTTTTCATTTTCGACGAAGAGTCGACGAAGGCAACTTTAAAAGCACTTTGCCGCCATCTTGTTATTTTGAAACGCGCCGAATTTGGCGCGCGGTGCGCTTGCGTAGATAGTGATAACGCTGACCTAATGAGTGATTGCACAAATATGGGTTATTGACCGTTTTATTGACCAAGTTTGAGTTCAAGATGGCTGGATATTGACCAAGTTCTTTTTTTGCGTGTTTATGGACCGAGATGGAGTCGAGGTCCATAAACTCGCAAAAAAAAGAACGAGGCCAAT